AAAAAAAAAAAAAAAAAAAAAAAAAAAAAAAAAAAAAGGTTAGAAAATCAAGAATAAAAAGCTCCCAGAAATCTGAAGGGATAGTAATTATGAAGAAACACAACTATGACATAATTTCCAAAACAACTTTCACACTTTGAAGGAACACAACTATGAGATAAACCTATACAGGTGGAACCTAATCCTTTATGTTGTTTCTTCTGCTGGTAGAGTGTGACGGGATCCTGATACTTTTCAGGCCAAAGCCATCCACAGCAGCATCTATTATTTTGCAAGAAAAAAGGTTACAACTATACTACACCAGAGCCAGGGACAATCACCATCAATATTATTATTGTTGCTTTCTTGTCATCATAAGAAACTTGATGAGTATATTAAATCAAAGATAAGTTGAGCTCAGGAAAGAAAAGAATCATTCTTTTGAATCCAAGAAGTGACAAGAAAAAGATTCTACCAGAAGTAGTAAATAACAAAAAGGGGTTACAGAAATTCCCAGGTAAAGACACCTAGAGAAGCTTGAATCCTGATGCGATCCCAAACTTCTCATACAAAAATTTCTCCATTTACAAAAATTCTCCTATTTCTTGCATTCCAAAATTCATAAATACCCATAAGACTATACCACTCTCCAAGGAGTTTTAGCCGCATCTCTAAAGGGAGAGCCATGAATATTTTGAATCCGTGAGTCCTAAGGATCAAGGAGTAATTCAAGAAAGGTTCGCATTATCACAATGAAGACCCTCAAACTATGCTAACATGCTGCCAGTGAAATAATGAATTGTCAATTATTACCCCACCTTCTCACACAGAACACGCAGGTAATGTGAAGGTTGGAAACCAATTTGGATCCTCGCAATAGCGTTGATCATTTTGAAATAGGTAAAGACAATATGGTAGATACCTATTCTTAGGTACCTTGGCTCCTATCTCATAAAGATGTGTTGTGCGAAAGATAGTTTTGGATAAGACAAATACAAGTTGTTGATACCATTGCCTCCAAGAAAATCTCCCAGATATTATGAAGCAAATCCCTATGGAAGAAAACTCACATGGAATCCTCTACGGTATAAGCAGAACCTCATTACTCCTCATATCAAGGACAACTCACTCTTTCAACATCTTAGCCTCTCAATTCAACAACTACTATTACCAATAATTGGATCCCAATTAACCACAAAAGTAAAACAGTTGCATGCAACTATTTCAGTAAAAGTCACCCAAAAAAAAAAAAAAAAAACCTTGATCTCCTGCTCAGTTTCCAGGAATCTCCCATTATAAGTTCATTGATTTTTTTTTTCTTTGGCTCGTGAAAACATACAAAATTTATAGACACCAATTTCTATTAGATATCTAAAAAAAAAAGTCTTTCTGAATCAAATTTAAACCTAGTTTTGAAAACCAATAAAACCGAAACCAAAACTCAAATGATATTTAATGATCACGTAATCTCTAAAGATCAAATATAAATGTAAGAAGACTATAGTTTTGACTATTAAAAATATTTTTAAAAAAAATAAAATTGATTACCTTAAGAGCAAGTAGAAGTAGAAATGTCTCAACTGAGTAAAATCCTCTATCAACAAAATCGCCAAGAAATAAGTAGTTTGTCTTTGGACAATCGCCTCCTACTTTAAAAAGCTCTTTCATGTCATAAAACTGCCCATGGATGTCTCCACATATCTACGTAAAAAGAAACATAGGAAAAGGTTAGAAACACATAACAATAATAATACAAATCAATCCAAATCTGAAACTCGAACATAGTTGGACATAATTCCTCGGTCATCGGGTGGTGTCCTACTCCGTTGTACTTCAGTGAAATGTTGGATTCTTATTTTAAAAGGGCAAAAGGAATATTAGACATGAAAAAGCTTTGGTGGCTCCACTTGAACCCCAGACCAAAGCCATCAAGTTTGTTCAATAAATGGTTCCAGGTCTGGCGTATAAGATCCACGAAATTATTAAAGTGCTGCTTAGTCAAGCCTGACCAAGTAACAACTACAGAATAAGCAGAAACAACAGCAATAAGTGTAAACAAGAAGCATTGTATTGCTAATGGAGAAGGTAAAATTAATGCTCAAACACCATGAAAAGAACAAAAAATTGGTTAATGAGAAAACAAGAAATTGTGAACTCCTTTTGTAATGTCCTCATAATGTTTCTGTTCCAAAAAGTAAAAGACTGAACATAAGCAAAAGAAATCTCCTCAACATTTACCAATTTCAGTGTTTATGATGTCGCCAAACAACAATAACACTCTCTCATTCGTTATACCAATAATTTAAGCCATAATCATCTCAAATTTCAACAACATGATAGTCCTTAAGAACCACTTGTTTTTCCAAAAAAGAACGAAATTATAGACCAGAATTCCAATTCGCAATCAAAACTCAAAAACTGACCTAAAAAGACCAGTGTTACAGTGAAAAGGAACGAAACCCCAGATATAAAATTTAGAAAAAAACCACAATACTCGAGAGAAATCCAAATCAGGAACCCGAAAAGCACAACAATACGAGAAGAAGAAAGAAAGAGCCGCCGCCCTTGATTGAAACAGAGTCAAACATCTCGAAGTGGAATCCAGAATCCCCAAAATGGGGAAGAAGAGTGAGACTTACAGTAACGGGGGCATCAACTCTCTGAACGTTGCTCTCTTCGACGAGGATTTCCATGGCCTTAAGGCAAAGAGCTTTAACTTCAGACTCCTTCAGCGGCTCGCAATTCTTCAGCTGCTCAATTTGACGGTCTAGGTCAGACATCTCTCCTTCACTGTGGATCCCTCTCTCTCTCTCTCAACCTCAACCTCAACCTCAACCTCCTCCTTCTTCCCCTCCTCTTCCCGAAGGACAATCTCTCTCTCTCTCTCTCTCTCTCTCTCTCTCTTATATGAATCTCTCTCACAGAGCCATGGAAGCCAGAAGGGAAAATAGTATATTGAGGCGCTGCTCTGTGCNTCGTTTCTTTCTTTTTTTTTTTTTTTTTCCTTCTTCTCCAATTTGTTTCTTTTTTTCAATTTATAACAAAATAAATAAATATATATATATATATATATGCTATAAAAAAAATTAATAAATTATATAAATTTAACCTTAAATTTATAAAATTATTGTAATATTTATAGTTTAGCTTACCAAAAAAAAAAAAAAAACTATTTTTATATTAAAAAAATATAGTGGGTGAATTAAATTTTTTAATTTTATGTTTAATCAATCGATTTTAAAACTCATCAGTGAATGTTGAGGTTGATTTTATAAGTATATGCGTTTTACAATTGTGAGATTGATGGTGATCATAACAGACCTGCAGTGGGTTTTGGCTCTTACAAACGTTAGTAAAACTAGACACCGAGTGGTATACTGGTGAGGACGGTAAACCCTTAAGTGGGGTGGATTGTAGACATAAAGCAGCGTGCCAATGCGAACGTTAGACTCTCAAGTGGGGGTAAATTATGAGTTCTCACGTTGATTAGAGAGGAGAATGACACATTCCTTTAGTCGGAGAGTTAGGTTTGTGAGGTCCAATAAGGACGTAACAGACCGAAGATAGGCTTGAGCTGTTACAAATGGTATTATAGCCGAACACCGAGCAGTATGCTAGTGAGAACATTACGCCTTCAAATAAAGTGGATTGTAGACGTTGAACGAGGTTGAGCCCTCGATGGCCCCTATGGGTATCATGATTCTGGTTAGAACGATTAAAGGATTACAAGGTACATATGAGACCCACAGCAGTGCCCAATGATCTCGAGGAACGCCTTTCTTTCTTTTTATTGTTTCATTTTCTTCTTGATTTTCTCCCTCTAGGAATTTTCAAACCAATTTGCGCAGATCCAAATTACGACGTTCTGATTCCTGATTCCAATTGATCGACGAATGTTGGTCGCCGGCGGTGGCGGATTTGTACCATCCTTCATAGCTATTCTATAAATTCCCCAGCCGATCTGCCATTGCTGCCGGTTGAATTCTCTTATTTTTCGAACGTCAATTCTGATTTCCAAACGGTAAGTTCCGTTTCCTTTTGGTTATGATCTCTGTATCGTCTGGTAGTTTGCTTAATTTTTTTTTTTTTTTTAGGGCACATTCGATGTATTTGTTTGTTCGTTCTATGGTATCTGTTGATTTCAGTGTTTGATTCTATGGTTTGTACCTCAATTCTCCGTTTTCTGTTTGTCCTTGGTTTGTGTATGGATGGAAACGTTTGATCTTTCAGTTGACCAAATCGTGTGTGATTCTTCTAGATTATTCTAAGGATTCAGCTCTACCTGGATTAGCTTAATCTAGTTTTTGTCTTCTGCTCGCTTCTCTTTCTATGGATGAACGACAAATATCATCATTAACCTAATAACGCCAAGCCAAATAATTGTATGAGCTCCCTCATAGGTCAAGCTAAATAATTGTATGAGCTCATTGTTTAAAAAAAAATGATTTAAGTATTTTAGACTAAAGATACCTAGATATTTTAGGAATAGATTGATAGGTCTTTACGGTAAATACTCATCCACCATACCTAGGTTTTCATCTCAAGAAATCAAAAGTATATAGAGCAGTAGATATTTCTCCACTATACTTAGTGCAGTAGTTTCTATATACTATCTTGTAATCTCTTCTCGATTTTTGTGGTGTTTGGATTGAAGGCGAATGGCGTATACTTTGGAATCATGGGTGAAGGAATACAATGAAGCCATGAAACTCTCTGAAGATATCAATGGCATGATTTCTGGGAGAAGTTCTGCTTCTGGACCAGAAGCTCAGCGTCATGCCTCAGCTATACGCAGGAAGATCACAATATTGGGTACCAGACTTGATACCTTGCAGACTCAGTTACCCAAGCTTCAAGGAAAGCAACCAATGTAAGCCATGTGATTATGGTTTTTTCTGGGAATTGTGTGTTCTTGGTGGTATATTATTTCTGTGTCTCGTGGCTTGCAGACCGGAGAAAGAGATGAATCGTCGCAGGGATATGATAGCGAATTTGAGATCGAAAGCTAACCAGATGGCTTCGACTTTGAACATGTCTAACTTTGCTAACCGAGATAGCTTACTTGGTCCAGAAATAAAGCCAGCAGAGAATAGAACAGAAGGCTTAGACAACCGAGGCCTACTCGGTTTTCAACGACAAGTTATGAGAGGCAGGTTTATTTGTTTAAAGTCACTGGAAAAATATCAGTATGAATCTCTGTTAATGTGAAAATGTGATATTTGGAGCAGAGCAAGATGAAGGCCTCGAGAAACTGGAAGGGACTATAATGAGCACAAAACATATTGCATTGGCTGTCAATGAAGAACTTAGCCTTCACACGAGACTTATCGTATGTCTTTCGATTGTTGTCGTGTTTATTCATTTGTTGACTTACTTGATCGCTAAGTCTTCTCATGAACTCGATTCTTATAATTTTAGTCTTGTTTTTAACTCTGTTCAATGGTGCAGGATGATTTGGATGAACATGTCGATGTTACAGATTCCCGATTACGGGTACGAATCTCTTGTTCTGATTCTTTTCTTACATGATTGGGTGTTTGTTGTGTACATATCTGTTGTGTACTATAACTGTGAGAGGGTTCACCATGTTGGAAAAGATAGAAAATATTTGCCTTCCCAAGTTATCAAATTTGAAAGATTACATAGGACGTAAATTTTGAAAAATTTTGCCTCTCCCTCGAAAGTCCGGATTGGTTCTCCTAACTATTCAAACTACCTCGACGATCTAGATTATTATTGTGAGATCTCTCATCGATTGGGGAGGAGAACGAAACATTTTGTATAAAGGTGTAAAAACCTTGAGGGGAAGTCTGAAAGGAAAATCCCAAAGAGAACAATATCTGCTAGTGGTGGGCTAGGCCGTTACAAATGGTATCAAAGTCAAACATCAGGCAATGTGCCAGCGAGGAGGCTAAGCCCTAAAGGGAGGTGGACACGAGGCGATATGCCAGCAAGGACGCTGGGTTGAAAGGAGGTGGATTGGGAGATCCCACATCGGTTGGAGAGGAGAACGAAACATTCTTTATAAGGGTGTGGAAACCTCTTCTTAGCAAAACGCTTTTTAAAAACCTTGAAAGGAATTCTGAAAAGATTAAGCTCACAGAGAACAATATCTACTAGTTCAAATTCATTGACAGTATCGTTAATCATTGTATTAAAACAGAGAGTGCAGAAGAGGCTGGCAATAATGAACAAGCGGACCAAGGGTGGATGCACTTGCATGTCAATGATTTCATCAGTGGTTGGAATTGTCGTTCTCATCACTCTCATATGGCTACTTATTAAGTATTTGTAAATTCACTGTCTTGGTGTGAATTGACTAGAACACAACCTTTTGGTGTAAGATTCTGATATCCGTTGATTTTCTTAGTAAATTTGTGTGTTTTTTCTTCATCTTTCACTTCCCGTGGAGTTGATTCCATGTGATTGAAGCGATTTTGGGCTTGCCAACTCTTCACCCTCTTCTTCCTACAAGATATTAGTGTCTTATTTTAAGACAAGACTCCTAAAGAACTCTAGGACATTGGATCTTCTATGATCATTCTTATAGAAATGGATTTTGTAGCACTTCTTTCAATTTGTTCTAGATCTATCTCCCCTATGAATATCAATGATTGAGGCATCAAGGGATAAAGAATTGAGATACGAAAAAATCAAATAAAATCCCCAGCCTTTATTTCATAAATGGAGTTCTGTATTAAATAGCCATGAGCAATGGTCGATCTTCCCAAGAATTTGATGGAAAGTAATTAAAACAGCACTTGGGAAACACAAAATACAGAACCCAATTAAAGGTCATCTTCAAATTATGAACTGCACAGATTCAATCTGAAATGCAACATAGATTCATGGAACCTGGGAAATATAACATATCTTAGGGTTATCAGCAGCAACCCTGTGATGATTTAGATTCATAAGACACAACTAGTAGTAGAAGTTCCCAAAATTATCTTCACTCCGAGTCATTCAGAATTGGAACAATAAGTGGCTTCATTTGTGCAAGATATACAATTGCCCACCTAAATTTAAAAAAATGCATAATAAATTTAGTAGTCGGTATATATATTACGCAACTTTAGTGTCTAATTATAATAGAAACTCTAACAATAACAGGTTGTCCTGAAATGTGAGTGGCTGTTTATAAAACAGTGTGTTGAAGTGAATTCAATATCTTTATAATCTGAAAAGAAACTCTAGAACAGATAGAGAGGCTTTTTTATTTCCCTAATTTAGGGCCCTTCAACAAGACACCCAGAAAACTAAAAGGGTTAAAATTAAACCTAGAAGCCTATTGATGCTATGATGGATCAATTGATAATAAGAAGTCTATATTAAATAATTGTACATACGGAGGAGGAAATCTGGTTAGATGGAGATGGGAAAAAAAGGTAGCCAGTCAATTTTGGGACCAGAGTTCAGAATAATGTCAAGAATTTTTTAAGTTGGTCTGTTTGAAACTTCTTCAAAGAAAGGTTCATCGTCAATAAGTCAATAATTAATATTGCAAACAACCCAATCCAACATGACCTAATAAAATACATTAAAACCAAAAGACATTTCATAAAGAAAAAGTTGGATAAAGTCTTTATTTGTACACCTCTAGTATCAATAAGTAGCCAAATAACACGAGTTAACCACATAGTTGATTGGTGCATGATTCCAAGCAAGTTGATATGAGAAAATATCCATTAGCCCCTTCTTGAGGGGGAACGCGGGGGTTGCGTGATGGAATTTTAAGAAACATCATAACTACAGTATCTATGTTGTGGACATTATAATCTAAGATTGTTTCCTTATTTTTATGACTCATTATTTGTACATAATAGTCTGTAAGTATCAATATTATGAAAAGAAAACTTCCATCAAGTCCTAAGAATTACCAAAGCCTTCAAAATTTGTTATGACATTTTCACGATATATTTACATCTAGCAGTGCATTTTATGGTGCATTCTAATGTTTTTCTTCTTCAAGAAGACACGTCCGCCAAAGGTCCAGGGTTTTATTGCGGGTTCTATGTTTTCATTAATCAATTCATACATTATTGCAGCTGTACAATATATTTTCTCCTTCTAGGTGGATCTTTCTTCGCTAAAGAAAAATCTTACTAGAGCTTCTCTCCAAGCAAGCAACGGCTTGTTGCTTTAGACAGCAACTTGAATTTGTTTGGAGTCAGTGCTTTAGTTTGTCTGGGGTTGTTGACGCGTATATTAGGAATAGGTGCTCTTTGATTGAGAGATTAAGTGAACTCTCCTTTTTGGGATAAGGGAAGAGTTTTGTGGCAGGCCTGTTAAATGCTATCTTGTAAGGACTCGGGAGTGTGGCTTGAGAAGAATAGTAGGATTTTTAGAGGGGTGGAAAAATCTTCACTGGAGGTGTGGGAGGTAGTGAGATTCTATGCATCTTCATGGGTGTCTACTATTTGAATTTTTTTGTAATTGACAACTTAGTGGTATTCTTTTGAATTGAGGTCTTTTCCCAAAGTTGAGGACTCCTTTTGTGTTGCTTTACATGCTCTTGTACATTCTTTCACTTTTCTCAATGAAACTTTGGTTTCTTAGATAAAATAAAAAGAAGGGAAAAAAAAAGGAAGAAAAAAAGACGCGTTTGGAAAACATCAGTTTGTCCTCTATCATAACAAGCTAATGTTATAGCACAAAGGAAATTAGTGGTTATCAAACGCAAGAAAAACATAAGACTTACATCATCCAGCAGCATATTGTTGCAGTAGTTATCAAAGTAAGGTGAAACCTGCAATGAAGAATAGCAATATTAGCCACCTGCATGAATGCAATGAAAGAAATATTCATACGCATATGCAAAGGAGTAATGGTACAAAAGTTCAATAGCACTTTGATTGTTCGTTTCAAATATGTATTAAGATCCCATGGAAGTCAGATGAATGATCAATAGTCTTTCATAAGTTTTGTCGTCAAGCACGAATATCGATGAGGCAAGCAGATTTAACCACGCAACGTAAACTCTACATATGAAGTTTCAGAGACTACCCATATATGACCTTTTCTAGAGTAAGGGAAATTGAACAAAATTACATAGCTATAAGACTACTTAAGAGAGTTTTAATCTCTAGTACGAACACTGCTCCAAGGGTGAGTAGTGACGTAGTTGCAGAGACGAGCACCAAAGAAAGAAGCTAGAGAAACAACCAGCAATTTACAAATAAGACGAGCACCAGAATAATGTTGTTTTAGTATACATAGTTTAGGTTCTGATCAGTTTTTAAACCATGAGGCTATTTCATCATCAAGCTTACCAATTATTTACCCTCAACGCCAAGATAGAAAACACTTGTATACTTAAACCAAGAACGACATAGTTCGACAGATAAATTTCGATAAACAATTTTCCAGAATGATGTTTTTCTTTAGCAGAAGCAGTAAAGTCTTATAAAAATTCTCATATCCTCCATTGACCTAATAAAATATTCTCAAGTTTCACATCTTTTGTTAACAATATTGTTCCATCCTACTCAATATTCCACATAGTTCCCCCTAATTTCATATTGCCAAAGACCTTTCTGTGTGAACCTAATAATTTGGATACACGTTGAGATCTTAAATCCTATAAACTCATATTACAATCTTAACAATGCAATATACCAGCCTAGATACATGCGCCTGAACTTTCAGTGTTACAAAAATGGCAGTCATTGGATATATAAAATCATTGATGTATGTCCTAGAATACAAACAACAGATTAAATGTCTAAAAGCCAACAACACAAGGACTTAGAATCAATAGCAGATTGGCTACAGTAGAACTAATGATCAACAAAACTTAGCACAGTTGAATAGCATATGGAAATCAAACATAGTTATCAGCAAAAACAAACGAGTTAGATTCCGTAGCAGCTCAATTGCTTCTGGATCAACAGCTCAACACATGTATGAAAATAGAGAAAGAAAATCGATAAAGAGCAAGGACTTTACAAATTAGTCGAAGCTCCTCTGTTACAGCAAATTAAGGAGCAAAAACACGCGATGACTCCAATCACGGCGAAAATAAGGGACGTCACCAAGAATCCCATTGTTGATCCCGTTCGACCTCGATCGTGCAATCAAAAGATCAAAACCTCTGCAATCAAGCAAGAGACTGGAAAATTCAGATGTAGTTCGAATTAAACAAATGAGAAACAGACAAATCTGAAAACGGGGAGGATAACAAAAGGCGATTCGTTTGATTACCAAGAAACCAAAGGACGAATTGTGGAGTCGCAGAGCATTTCGAAAATCTGGAGACGATGAAAATAGATCTGAAAAATTCATCGGAATCTACAGGCGTGAAAGTAAGCGGGTCGGGTCATGCTACTTAATGGGCCGAATCAAATTGGTCTATGAGGCCCAATATAAGGCATAGTTTAGTTTTTGGGAATTTGTAGTGTCTAGCTAAATAGCCCAAACTGAAAATTATATTTAAAAATAATAATAAACTATTTCATCAAAATTTCCTTTTTTTCTTTTTTTTTTATTTAGATTTTAGATAATTCTTTTACTAATATTTAATAAACTGCTATAAAAAAATCCCGAGTATACGAGTAAGAGACACTAACTCCATTGATATGAGATTTATCGGGATTCTCTATCTCTCTACTCTTTTTTCCCCTCAATTCGTCTACTCTCATCTTTTTTCCCTAATCGTACATTTCTCTAAATGACAACGATCGTCTCATCAACGACAATACAGATCCTCGTTTGATCATCGTTAGCACATAACCTACGTTAGACAACCAGTGCACCTGTGTTATCATTTGTGTTGATTCCGCTAGAGGGTCATCGATCGTGCTCCTTCATTGATCTCCACACCAATATCGTCGATTATGCTTCACAGGGTCATCGCAAGAAGTACGTGGACCTATATCTTTACACTTGATTTTTTCCACATGATGATAATTCATAATTCTCGTATCGCAAACATAGAGTTGGTTGATCAGAGTCTCTATGTATTGCTTCGTGTCGAGTTAGACAACCCTAATCCAGGATAGGTCACGAACGAGTAACCTTCTTTAAAAAGAAAAGAAAATCAATCACCTGATTTACATACTCTATATACACATGCATATCTAATCTCGATACGAATATTTCTTACAACATTTTCTCAATAATCCCGACACGAGGGTACTTTTACCCTAATAGACCTGATTACAAACAATTTATTTATAAAAATAATAATTTTGACCGAAAAAAAAAAGGAAAAAAAAACAATAATTAATTTTTCACCATTTTCAAAACATCCTTTAAGTTCGGAATAAAAGTGGGCCCACGGCCCATAATAACATTTATGGACTATGCTTCTTATTAATTTCTTTTATTAAAAATTTAATTTATATTCATAAATTTTGGAGGCGGTATTGTTTATGAATTAAATTCCTAAATTTTGATAAGGAAATTACTTCAATATTTTTTAAAATTTATTTTATTTATAATTTATACACGTGAGTAATATTTTTTAAAATATATTAATTAAAGATTGGTAAACCCAATCCGACTCTCTATTTTCAGGTTAGGTTTGGATTGGGTTATTAAAAAAAAATTAAATTATAACATACTAACATAGTTCAACATTGTCATGGTAGACTGGCAAATAAATATCAACCCTTTTTAAAATAAATTAGATATATTTTTAAATTATTCGGACAAACAAATTATCTATGAACAACATAATCACAAAATTGTAACCTCCTAACATAGTTCAACTGGTAGACAGGTATATTTTACAAAGACGCAACACTCGATATTTAAATTATTTTAAAAATTAAAAAATATAAATTGTAAAATAAATAAAGTTTTTCTTTTAATTCACCTTAACTCAGAAATATTTAAATTTTTTATTAAATTTAAAAATAAATTTTTTTTAATTATTTTATTTCCAAAATTTACCTTAGCTAAGAAAATAAATAAATAATAAATAGTTTATATAATTATTAATTTGAGATTAAATTTTGGTGAGGTAAATTATTTTAATTTATTTATTTGAATTTATTTTCTCAAAAAATAATAATAAATAATAATAATAATAATAATTGAGATTGTATTTAGAATTAAAATGCACCAACTGCCAACTAGCCCTGACACGACAGAAGTTAATTTCCCACCAACCATTTAATTGAAGCTATTTCATAGGATCTAAAATAGGAATATTTATTTTAAATATTTCATATATCATTTAATAAATTTTGGATAGCAATTAATTATTATTATTTTTTGAAAAAATAAAACCATTCTAAAATGGAAGGAATTTTGCTCACTTTTCCCATAGCTACAAGTCATTCTCGTATTTTCCATATACATAGGTTCGGTCCTGTAACGTGTGTTACGGTTCTTATCTTGCTGGTCTTTTCCCTTAGCTACAAGACATTCCCGTGTTTTTCCATATATGTGAGTTTGGTCCTTCAAGGTTTGTTAGAGGTTCGATCTTGCTGACCTCTTTCCTAGCTACAAGTCATTCTCGTTACACAAAATTTGATGACCAATATAAAGATGCAAAAACTAATATTTTTACTCGAGAGTTTAAAAAAACATCCAAAATCGAGTGATCATTTAAAAAACGTTCACGAATTATAAAAGGGTGAGACTGGTAATACTCATAATAAAGATATTTCACTCGAAGTTTCATTCAAATGCTATAAGGAGAGAAAACCCGAGAGTAAATACTCAATTAATGGCAAGAAAGTACTCTGTTGTTGTTCAGTCACACTAGCCACTAGGGAAGTGTTTCATCCTCAAAAGCGGGGACAAAACAATGAACAATCATAAAGTGGCATATTTTAGCGTTGTTTCTTCGTGATTCACGACTTGTGACATGTACAAAAAAAATGGGTTAAAATAATGTTAAGCTTAAGATAACTCGATACAAATTGATTAGAAACGATGAACTCGAGCACTTTTAGTTACAAGACTAAAAACGGTCATTCATGCAGAGATACAAGAACAAATACCTTATCTGAAAAAGTCTACAAAAGCATCCACAAATCAAGTGATTACTTAAAAAACGTTCACGAATTATTAAAGGGTGAGACTCGTAATACTCGTAACAATGATATTTCATTCAAATTCTACATTGTTCGACACACGATCCACGCCAGAACGTAATGTGACACTAGCCACTTGGAGAGTATTTCACCTCAACAACGGTGGAAATAACAACCAATGAGCGGTGGCGACCAAAAACACCGTCGTGAGTGGTCCGGACACTGCCCAATGAATCCGCCACCTTTTCCCCAATGCCCTCTTCAGCTCAATCTCCACAGCCACACACAGCCCATGAATAACAAAGAACCATGTAACTTCCCACGTTGGAATGACTCTAATAATATAGTACAACAAAAGCTCATGCATCAACCCGGACACCACAAACACAACGACCACCGCCATCCACCGCGGCCCTCCGACTTCATAACGAACGGGTTGATAAACAGCGTTATGCAAAGTTTCCGACACCAATCGATTCCACCGTCGGCCCCAAAAATTTTGAAGCGACGTAGCGAGATACGGCTCGTTAAATGGTCGACTAACCTCAACACCAAATCTCGACCGAACAAACACGTTAGAAAGACACATAATCATGTCTAAATAAAAATACAACATTGCACAATTCATGCACGATTTTGCAATGGGATCCACAATTTCATAGTACTTCTTGCCCATGATCAGCATAACAAATATCACCACCTTGGCGGGCAAGTTTAGAGGTATCTTAGGATGTGGTTCTTTGCCAACCTCTTCTTGATTTTGAACGTATTTGGCGGTTTTGCTATGCTTGATTCTGGTTGGTAAGAACGCGATAGAAGCAAATAAAGGGAACGATAATTTCGAGTCGAAAGCTAAAGGACCTAAATTGAATGAGAATAGAACAAGCTTAAAAGTCGTGAGCCAGGTGACGATGAAGGCGAAGCTGCTCGAGAGGAAGGCGGACGAGACGTAGAGAGGGAGAACGAGGAAGAGGGAGAAGACGGGGAGGAATGAAATGAGCCTGAATTTGCCTTTGGGAAGTTTTGGAGCTATGAAATAGCAATACAATAGAGAGGCCATGGATATGAGTATCACCTTCATTAAGCTTATGAGTTCGCTACCCATATTGGAGGTCTTGGCTTACCAAAATTTTGTTGGTTTTGTGAATTTCTAAAGCTCTATACTTCTATTTATACTTATCAACTCATTTATGCAGCACATATGTTCATTTAACTAGCATAGGCCGTCTTAGAGAGAGACTGAGGAGAGATTTCCTTCGTTAGCTAAATAAAACTCGAGTCAAAGATTATATTCGGGTCTTCGCCCTAGATCATTTCAGATGGAGTAGAGAACGAGGGAGAGACTGAGGAGAGATTTCTCTTCGTTAGCTAAATAAAACTCGGGTCGAAGATTATATATCCCGTCTTCGCTCTAGACTGTCCCGAATGGAGTAGAGAATGAGAAAGAGATCAGGGAGAGATTTTCCTTCATTAGCTAAATAAAACTCGGGTCGAAGATTATATTTGGGTCTTAGCCCTAGATTGTTTCGAATGGAGTAGAGAACGAGAGAGAGACTGAGGAGAGATTTCTCTTCATTAGCTAAATAAAACTCGAGACGAAGATTATATACCCTGTCTTCGCCCTAAACCGCTCCGAATAGAGTAGAGAGAGTGACTGAGGAGAGATTTCTCTTCGTTAGTTAAATGAGACTAGAGATGAAGATTATATTCCCGTCCTCACCCAAATTTCCACTCGGCTCTGCCTCGTTACATATATATATATATATATATATATATATATTTTTTTTTTTTTTTTTTGAAACATTTTTTTTAAGGTTGAACATTATTCTCAAATTAAATAATTTTAACTAATTAATTAATTAATTTTAGGATAACAAAGCATTTTAATTTCATTTATTTTAAAATATTTATAAACCCATGATTTTAATTAACATCCGAGCTCTAACACCTATGTAATTACTTATGGCTATCTCCTTATTTTTTGAACTAGACTCGAGGATTTGGAATCGAGAAACTTGAAGGCGTGAATCCGTGTCTAGACCGTCAAACAACTCTAGAGACTTAGAAGACCACCAAGACAACTCTAGAAGACAAAGGTAGTCTCCTAGGCTATTAGCAACCGGTACGTTATCGACCGAGTTTTCACTCTAGTACAGTATCGTTGAGCTAAGCATGGGGTCGATTAGGTAAGTTAGACTTGATAGTTCAGTTGAATTATCTTGCATTATGGATTCGTCCTATAACAGGACGTAGATCATGCAGGTAGTTAATGGAGATGGCACATACAGGAGATCGCTTCCCTCG